GGTGACCAATAGCGCGCCCTCTTGTGAAAGAAAAATGAAAATGACATAAATTGGCGGGATTTTCTCCGTGTTTCCCCAGTACATTATTTGGTTATATTGTTTTTATTGTCGGACGATCCCACTCCAAATTCAACAGATTTGTGATATATGTTACCTTTAATCACAATACGAAATATCGATTCAATGCAACACGCATTTCTTGAGTTATCGTCTGGAAAACGAGTTTGTTGTTTTTGAACTATGAAAGTTGCATTCCTGCTTTCAGTTTAAAGACAGAACATTCTTTACGATGGTGACCACTATTTGTGTAGCGCGCCCTCTCTTGAAAGAAAATTAAGTTTAGTTAAATTTGGCAGGTTTTTCTCCGTTTTTGACATAAATCGGTAAAATACATTCTAATCTTAGAATTAAGTGTAGAAATTAAGTATTTTTGTGTTGATTTACGCTGGTCGTCTCACCGAAAGTTCATTATTTTCGTTTGCAGATATTTCATTTTATTGGCCTTGTTTAAGTAAAAAAGAATCAGTTTAACCCCTAGCATTTGCTTTTGTTTATAATTTTGGGTAAAAACGGGAATAGTGAAACTTGGGACTTTCCACAAGTTTGAATTTGGTGTTAAAATAAACAAACTGAGGTTATGACCTTCGTTCATAATGGAAATACATGTAGGTTATTTCAATTTCACTGGAAGGCAACGATCCCACCCAGCAAAAATAATAAACTGATCCACTTAAACCCCGCCCCATGATATTCTGACCAATCACAGCCGTGATTTAATGTGGTCTGACACGCGTGCATTTGCGTACGACGCGCGCGTCTTGAACACGCATTGCAGCATTGGTTGAGTGGGTCACGCGTTGCTGCTGCTCACATGGCAGTGGGCGCGGCTTAATGACTCGGTTTGCTACATCCACGATCACCATTTACAAAGGAATTTATTTCCATTTACAATACGATTTGAAATTCAAAACATAAAGGGATTTCTCTCCTTTGAATGATTCACAAAGTTTAATCAATTTTCAACTGAAGAAACAATAGTTTTCAATATTATACAACAAATTAAAATCAATAATTAAAATTACAAAATGAAAATGTTTCCAGATGGTTCTCTCTGAAACCTTCGCATTTTTACATGTGCTTCCAAAACCCATTCAAATCCAACAGGGTGCAGTTGACCAATGAACTGACTAGGAAGTCGAGAACCAGTGTTAGCGATTACACAGTCCTCCAAAACCAGCGTCAAATTGGGACGAGCCAATCCATGTACAACATGAAAACAAAATCTGGACAATTCCTTTTCTTAATTTTCATTTTCATATTAGGGTCACATCAAATGAAAAAATAAATAAAATAAAAACATGAAAAAGAAGTAGTCAACAAAATACTAAAATGAAACATAAACACTCAAATTAGTCGACCACACATTAATTTCTAATCATTGGATTCTCATTGTTTCAAGTCACTATGTAACATTTTTGATGTAAGAGACAATACATGTAAAGTACACATGTATAAAATTATTTACTACGTAGCCGCGCTGACAATTATATGAATCTTCGAGAATGAAAAATTGGACATGTTTACAAAGAAGATTTAACTGTCACTGAAATTATTATTGGAACCCAACAAATCTCAACAATTTTTGTTGAAGGACACATTAGGGTTTGAATCCAGCTGCTGGTCATATGCTGTGTCCTTGGGCAAGCCACTTTACCCCACTTGCCTCTCTCCACCCAGAGTATAAATGGTTCCAGCATTAGCTGGGGAGTAACCTGGGATGGACTAGCATCCCATCCAGGGGGAGTAGAAATATTCTTGTTTCATGCTACTGAAACTGGAGATAAATGCCAGCCTGATGGGCCACATTGGCTTGTGACAGACTGAACTTACATCAAGGTACATGCATCATGGGTAGTTATGCATAATTGTTAGGAACTTACAAGTTAGGGATCTCTTATACACGCACACCTTGCAGAAAACCTGCAAAAACATTCTTATTTTTAATCCGACAAATCACTCTGTTACCCACTAAAAGTAGGCAACAGATCATTCAGAGTGAAAAAAAAATACACTTAGATTGAAAAAAAAAGTTTGAATAGATTTTTCTCTGTCAGAGTCTCAGGTGTAAAGAAAAAGAAAGAAATTTCACTCCGAGAGAAATATGGGAAAGACTGTTGCATCCTGACGTAATTTTTTCATCATATATTATCTCAATGAATTTGTCACTGCAAGAATGTCGAAAAAGACATGAATCTGCGACTGAGAAACGTGAGTCCAATTTTGTTAGAAAGTGGTCTTAGACTCTCCATAGACTTTGTGCATAGCCAAAGAAGTAGCGTCTGGATACTGCATTCTTTCCAAAAGCGTACCATTACTACTACTTGGGTTTAATCTCGGGTTTAAACACGTTTTCTCACAAATGCCATCCAGAAAAGGAAAAATAGGGATGATTGATTTCCCTACTGCCTTTATACATTGAGTGTCAACTGTACATAAAGTTCAGGGATATAACTACACAAGTAACAAAAAAAGATACTAGTAAAATAAAGACCATCAATCTCGACTTGAGACAGTTTAGCTTCAACGCAAAATATAAAGTACTTTTCTTATTAAGACAAACATATCAATGCAAGATTGAACTGGCAACTCTCAAATGAAATGCCCAAAGTTCAACCCTGTCTAGTCGACTCAAAAGTTTGCTCTATAATCTCTGAAATCTGGACATCTATATAATTCCACTCTTTTCCCTATCAGACATTGTAGTGTGAACCATTCTCCACAGCTAAGTTCTGTACAAAAAATAGTTTATTAATTATATATGATACATAAACTACGTCTACCGAAACAGAAAACAATTCTAATTTTCTCTACGATTGAAAAAAACAAACACCACAAATGATCAGTTGCTTAAGATTTTCCATTATAAAATAGATAAAAGGTACGCAAGAATTATTTTAGCTCCATTTATACATAATATTCAAGTATAGTGTAACATTCGGTAAATTTGTATCATATATGATATAATGAATTACAATATCAAGAAATTATTCTTAATTGTTCAGTCCTGTGTTGTTAAGGAGCGTCTTTAAAATTGGAATAATTAGCATGTCTGAATTACTGGGCTACGACTACGGCTTGATATTACACATGAGCCATAGCTGAGTAATTCAGACACGGCTATCCCTGTTCTGTATCAAACAAATTAAATGTCAATGGAAATGCTAGTTCCTGATGGCAACCTAGTATTTTCCCATTGTGCTGCAAACGGTACCAGACTACTCTTGAGCAAGCCTTGATCAAGGCTGTGTTCAAATTACTTGACTACGGCTTGCAATCACACACACGTCTATGGAAAGCGGCCGAGGTCACTTCCCATAGACTCCTGTACTTCCTAGCCGTAGCCACGTCTATGGAAAGCGGCCGAGGTCACTTCCCATAGACTCCTGTACTTCCTAGCCGTAGCCACGTCTATGGAAAGCGGCTGAGGTCACTTCCCATAGACTCCTGTACTTCCTAGCCGTAGCCACGTCTATGGAAAGCGGCCGAGGTCACTT